TGTCATTTCTGGTTGGGTATAAACCATGCCCTCATATAGTTTAGATGCCAAAATGCCAAAATTTCCAGGACGTTTTCATGGGTTCCTGGAATTATGGACAGAAGATCCTAGAGTGAAAAATCAGACTTTCCTTGGGCAGGGGTGTGTCCTAACAGTTGCTGGTCAGCATGGCCAGTTTGATGCCCTCGAGAAGGGGATGTTCGGGCTCTGTCTAGCTGGAAAGAGGTAAATTCTAGGTGAGCAGCTTGGTCATGCGTCAGGTGGTAGGCCTGACCACAAAACACAAAGGTTGGCCCTGGCAGCTCCTCTGGGCCCTGGGGACACTGCTGGCTGCTTAAAGCCATCTCTATAGTAGGCTGCCATCTGACGGCTCCACTAGGGCTTCTCTTGGAATCACTCTCATTGAGCTCGGGATCCCTTTCTGCCCAGCTGCCCTGTGGCCTCAATGCCCTGTGGCCTCAAGTCCCCAGTTGCTCCTCTCTCCCGAATTCTCACCCACCCTTCCCGGCCCATCGCCCTAGAACTGGAAGGCAGCGCTGGGAGAGGCCGGGGTCCTCCGATCTGGTTGCTGACTCATGAGCTCATCCAGAGCCTCGTTCTCACCCTTTGGCTGGATCGGCATCCCCTGGGGACTTGTTCCAACACAGCCGGCTGGGCCCCGCCCCAGTGTTTGTGATTCAGCAGGCTGGGCTGGGCCCAAGGATTTGCATTTCTTATTCCTTCCAGGTAATGATGCTGTCCCCTGCAGACCACACTTTGAGAACTATCATTCTAGTCCAAAGGTGTCAGGCAGGTGGGACTTTTGGCCTAGAACAGTAGGTTTCAAAGTGTGGCCCTTGGACCAGCTGCGTCAGTGTCCCCTGGAGCTTAGCAGAAATGCAATTTCTCAGAGCCCCCCCATCACCTGCTCCAGTGTGGGGACTACAGGTCTAGAACAAAATCTGTACAGTCCCTTTAGCCCTTGGGAGGAGAGGGGAGGGTGGTGTTACCTTTATGGAATGAATGAGAAACCTGAAGCTCAGAGAGCTGTCCCAGCAAATGAGCTGGGAACGGGGCTAAAGCCCAGGTCTTTGGGCTCTGGCACTTTCCATCGGCATCTCGGGCTGTCTGAGCTTGCTAGAGGCTGGCCTGACTTGTGCCCCAGTGATAGGAGATGGGCAGTGTCCCCTATGCCCCTTTCTCCCTGGGCCTGGCAGTGGGCAGAGGATTTTCACAGGCATGTTCCCAGTTGCTCTCTGAGGCTCCCCTCTGGACCCCCTATTCACCTCCTCTGGGGGAGCTGGGTAGTGCCTTGTTAGTGCAGCCTGAGGGGTGGCAATTACACAGTAGTGATGATGGTTCTGGATAGAGGAAGGAGACGGGCTGAGGCAGCAGCTGGGTGAGCCCCTCCCCGCCTTCCTGTCAGCACCTGAAGGCCTGTGCCCACTGACTACTTAGGATCAAGGGCCACTCCCCTCGGCCCCACTCCTGTCCCCTCCCCCTCGCCAACCTCAGCTCCAGGGAGCAGGAGTGAAGCTGTGCTAAGAATGGAAATGATTGTGTGCCAGTGTCTGTGCGCGTGTGCACATACGTGTTTGTGCGTGTGTGCACATACGTGTGTGTGCACGTACGTGTGTGCGCATGTTGTTTTATGACACTTTCAAACACACAGAAGAGAACAGTACAAGGAACCCTGTGGACCCCCCACATCCAGACAGAACAGTTATCAAGATTTGGCCACTTTTGTTTCTCCACTCCTTTTTTCTTTCTTTTCTTTTTCCTTTTTGTTTTTGTGAAGGATTTTAAAAGAAACCCTAGTAATCATGGCATTTCAGCTCCACACTCCTCAGGGTGCATCTCTAAATATAGCCATTTTCTTATGTAACCACAATGGCAAACAATTAACACGAATGCTTTATGATTATCTAATACTTTGTCCATAATTAATTTTCCCTGATCGTCATAAAAATGCCTCTTAACTGTTGGGTTGCAGTGGAATGAATGTTTTACGTAATGTCTGGTCTTCCTTTTGAGCTGTGTAATTCAGTGAAATATTTAGCTTTTCCTTATCTACAAAATGAGGACAGTTAAATGAAATGATTAGACCTTTGAATCAGGATCCAGATAAGGTTCCTGTCGACAGCCCCACGTGGCTGCTGGCCACCGTAGCGGACAACACAAACATATACACTTCATGTGCCCATTTTTCTCTTAAGTCTCTTAATTCCAGGAAGCTCCCCCTTTTCTCTCTCATGCCATTGACTTGTTGCAGAAGCAGGATCAGTTTCTGTAGAATAAATGGAAGTTAATTCTATTTTTTTTTTTTTTAATGATGACCGGTAAGGGGATCTCAACCCTTGACTTGGTGTTGTCAGCACCACGCTCAGCCAGTGAGCGAACCGGCCATCCCTATACAGGATCCGAACCCGGGGCCTTGGTGTTATCAGCACCGCACTCTACCGATTGAGCTACGGGCTGGCCTGGAAGTTAATTCTAGAGACATGATTAGATTGGAGTGTTTTTAGTTTGTTTGGGGTTTTTTTTTGTAAGAACAATTCACCCGTCGTGCCATAGCTTCCTGTAATGTCACATGAGTCAGGAGACTCCCCGATGTCTGCTAA